CTGAATAACTGTACATTTTTTGTTTACCTAAAATCCGCGGGGGTTTACTATACGTTTAGTGCAAGTTGACCTTCTTTTCTCATAATTTTACAACCAATAAAATGTGTAATGTTATTTTATCAAATGAATGACACTCGGAAATGACCAGTAATATTTTAAATGTCTGTTTTTCTGAAACAAAGGAGTTGGTATTTCTAGTCTTGATTGTTGGTTTGATTAATATTATTGATATCATATAAAAGCAGATTTAAAGTACAAATAACATCATGTTTAGCATTTAACTGAATAAAAATAATAAATCTGTCAAATTGACAGAGACCACGTTAACTGATATGCTGATTATAAAGTACATTAATTATTCGTACCGTAACATGATACTTACATACTGCCTGTCTTGTACACATCTTAAAACAAAAGATTAACCAAACAATTAATTTAAAAGAAGACTAACCTATTAACACCCAAACTTGTAATTGTCTCTGTTTTCCAATTTTTAGTCTCACAAGAAACGTCAACTTTACAAAATATACTATCAAGACATTTTAATTGTACAGGGGTTTCAGGAGACAGATATAACATTATACAGGGGTTTAAGGAGACAGATATAACATTATACAGGGGTTTAAGGAGACAGATATAACATTATACAGGGGTTTAAGGAGACAGATATAACATTATACAGGGGTTTAAGGAGACAGATATAACATTATACAGGGGTTTAAGGAGACAGATATAACATTATACAGGGAGACAGACATAACATTATACAGGGGTTTAAGGATACAGATATAACATTATACAGCTATTATTTGAACAGTAACACAACATGTCCGGTATTATGACGCACTGGATAGTTCAAGATATTAACAGCAAGATTACCCTTGCTAGGGCCTAGTATTGTTGTTTATCCATTCTTTGATACTTTTTATCCAGTTCTGTCGCTCTAATTGAACTGCATGTAGTATCCAAACTGTGTATTTATGCTGTGTGTATCTAATCATCATCATTTATATTGCATCTAAAACTTAAAATTGAAGTTTTGCAGGCTCCATAAATCATATCCTACATTCAAAGAAACCATGATTAACTTAGCGCTCAAATTCAGTATACTTAATTAAATTGAAGTATGTTAATTAAAAACTACCTTTGGATGAAACGCATCGCATCATCATAAATTACTAAATTACTTGGTCCGCCCGGTAATTACAGATTACAAAGGGAGGATGCATATTAAAAAAGGAACCACGGAGCCCAACTCAATATTACAATACTGCAGCTGTCTGCAGCTTTGAGAGCTCCCTGAGGTTCCCTGGGTCTTGTGAATAATCATTAACCTGGTTAGTAAGCGGTGATAATATATTGCTGTGGTCCTTTACCTCCCCCCCCCCCCCCCCACCACCTTCAGACTGCTTGACGATCTAAATGTTGAAAAGACAAGAAAAAAGGAGTTATATAGATGTAGCAGCTATTGTCAGATTGAAACCTGCCGTTTATTATTTAACAATCCAGAAGGTAGATGAGTTATGAGGGTCCGGGTGAGAGTCTTCTTATTCTTAGTGAGTTAGTGGCTGGCTGGAGGCATGAGCAGATATTTACGATATTGTGATTGGATGGATCGTAAAATCACGTGGTAAGGGTCTCGGCACAATTAGCTAGCACAGTTCCTGTCCTCATTTCTCATTACCTCAGTTCAGTTAAACCGCTCAATATTTCGGTTGTTGTAAAGTTAAGTAAGTTTAAAGACACGAAACCTCGATATAGGTTTCAAGAGAAGACAGCAGAGATCGTTAGAGAATGGCGAGTTCCTGCTTTCTTATCTTCATTGCTGTGGAGATAATCAGAACTACTGCTGCTAATGAAGGTATTCTTTAATGATATTTTAGTGGGCTACATTATTACAATTCTGAGAATTAACTATGGGCGACATTCTTAAATTCATGATAACATCAATCGTTGCTCAGTAGTCATGAGTTAAACATACAAATAACAGGTTGGTTACCAGTCAAACGTGAGGTGGAAATAGAGTGGGATCTTGAGAACTTCTTATGAAGTCAGATAACAAAAAGTGACCCTAGAGTTTAGACTTATAGATATTATAGTGATAATGCAGTGCAGAGGCACATATTAGGTGCGGTAAAAAAATCGAAATTATGCGGTACCGCACCCGACTATAAAGGTAAAATGTGCGGTAAGGTGCGGTAAATTTTTACCAATTATGCGGCAAATGTGCGACGATTTTTCGAAATTTGTGCGGGAATTGTGCGGTTTTCTTTTGCATTTTCTGAAGGACTTTGGAAATTCTAAACGTGTAACCGCCGCTCTTATCAAAAATAGGTCTGTTTATGTGTTACTGAGGGTGTAGTTCTTTACTAAGACCATGATTGAACCTATATTGAGATTCAGTTGTCTGAGAACAGTGACTTGATCTGGTAGAGATCAGGAGACAGTTATTTGAAGACGCCTCTTGATAGAGTCGATCAGATCCGATGCCTGATCGCAAATATCAAATATGTGACACGCTTGTTGGCATTGATCGTCAGTACTTGTAAACCATTTGATCCAAGATCCATTAAGCCCACTATAAAGCCAACGCTACAACGATAAAAAGGGCTGCAGGTATGATCGAAGTACGGTAACGACGAGGGTTCCATAACGCCTGGGTCACGGTCCCGAAAGGGCCTGGGTCATGGTCCCGAAAGGGCCTGGTCACGTGGTAACCGGGTCACGTGCCTAGGCATGAGTTCCAAAGGGCCTGGGTCACGGTCCCGAAAGGGCCTGGGTCAGGGTCCCGAAAGGGCCTGGGTCACGTGGTAACTGGGTCACGTGGCCTAGGTATGAGTTCCAAAAGGGCCTGGTCACGGTCCCGAAAGGCCTGGTCAGGGTCCCGAAAGGGCCTGGGTCACGTGGTAAACCGTCATTCGGTGTTGTAAAGTTAGTAACGTTAGCCTATAATGCAGTGAAAAAAAAACTTTGTATCTTATATCAACTAAATTTGCACAGTTCCGAAATAGTAACGGTGATTACAAAATATGTTCGCACTAAATAGTCTAGTTGTTTATAAAAAAAGACTTTTGAATTATTGATAATGATAAATTTATGAACTTGTGATATCTTAGAAGTTGAGTGGGAAATCGTACTTTTCTTTGCAAAGATTTCCGATGCATAAAATTTCCTAATTTATATTTAAAACATAAAATTGATAATTTTGTTTTACCTAATTATTCAGGTGTTTCGCGGATCAATTGACACAGCATTTTCGTGACCTAATATTTTAAGATGTCCAATGTTTTGTATCATGATTCTTGTAAGTTGTACTTTATTTAATATTCATTCTTCTGATGATCCCGGTTTTCGTTATATAGAAGTCAAAAATTTAGTAACAATCACCGATTTATCTTTTCTTTACTCTAAACATTCTTTGTTGCCATTTGTTCGAATTCTTGATTCATTATTCTGCATACCGCTGACCCGCATACCGAAAGTTGGTAAAATAATGAAATCAAATATGCAAATCGTAGAGCTACTTAATAACATTAATCCACAAATTCTTCGCTACTCATATACATGTAAATTCAAATTCTACGCCCAAACGTTTGTCATTTTGCAACAGACGTTTTTAAACCCAGCTGAAATAATGTATTAAAATTATACCAAATTTTAAAACTTAATTTTATTTTTCAAGCGTAGTAAAATCGCGCAAAGATAATTGCTAACTGGAGCTGTACCTACAGATCTTGGGTGGAGTCGATGATCTAATGTATTCTCAATAGACTTTGGTATCACACGTGACCCACACCCACCAATGAAAACTGAGGATACCCCAATAAAACATTAGGAGTGATACAGTGATGAGCGTCAACTAAAATTGTTTCTTTCATGCGCTAAATATCCATTGTCAGATTTGCACGTGGTAGAACAAGTACAAAAGATACCTTGATTAAAGTGTACGACCTGCAAAGCAGAGTTAATCTACTGTGATCCTTTTGTCGCCTGTATTTTACTCTTGTCGTAAGGATAGGTAGGAGTCGATAATTTTAATCGTAATAATCTTTGATTCATTAGTTCAATCCAGGTCATTACTAATTTCAAAAAAGGTTCTAAAAATCTTTCTTTTTATACTGTAAAGCTGTAAACAGTGAAGGTCTTTTGTATCAATCTCCTTTGAGGGGTTCGTTTTTAAAACTTTTATAAGAATTAAGCTACTTATCACAGCCACATATTCGAATACTGTAAAATATCTATATTATACCGTGCTTCTTTAATCTTCATACCGGGTACCTCGATAAACCGGGCATTGTCCCCAAAACTTTTAGTTAATTAGCTTGTGTTGTGCAAGAAACCGGGCATTGTCCCCAAAACTTTTAGTTAATTAGCTTGTGTTGTGCAAGAAATGTAATTTATCGTAGCTCATAATACCACACTTGGTGGTGATCTGAGTATTATATCGAGCTGTATTCCACCAGAATACGTGTGCATATATATAATTATATTAATTTCCGTGGCTGTGGTTGCAATGCGCCTAGTCTACTGGAATGATTCTTCGGAATTTCGCTGGATTGTACAACTTTCGTCTTGGTAGATTCCAAACACAAGGAAATTTTTCCTTTGGTTGGTAATATACTCAATGATGGAAGTATAGTGAATTGGCTATGCCCCGCTTACTAGTTTAGCTCTTTCTAGTCCCCTGCTATACGGCATGTAAACAGGGATTGGCTAGTTAGAGGCGGTCCGTGTAGGCCTTACACTGTGCTTTCAGCAATACTCATATATTATATATTATATAAGGCCCTAGTAATATACAAAACGCCTGACAGGTTATTTCTCCCGGGAGGCCCACTATATAGAGGTTTAACTGTATTTAAAATAAGTGAAAAGTTAGGAAAGCATCTACGACATGATGCAGATACGATAATAAGTTCACGTTATGATGCTTGAAGTTTGAATTATGGTATTGCCCATGATAAGATTATACAAACTAACTAACCTAAACACAATCAGATGGATGACTCAGTGCAATAGTCGGGGGAATGAAGACCTTGTATGTCTTCACGAAATTTCTAAGTCTCGTAATTTGGATCGAGGTTTCTCAATGTTTGCGTTCAACAGCAACTCCAAATACCCTACTTCAAGAGGCAAACGCAACAACATCTCCAAAGAACACACCAGAAATTTCAACAGCAACTCCAAGGATTCCACTTGAAGTGAACACGTCGATATCGACAGAAACTTCAACGGAGTCATCGTCGAAAAAGTCATCCTCCGATCATGTAACCACATTTTCCACTAGTACTTCATTCACTTCGGTCTCCCTGAAAACATCTGCAAATACTACAAAGATGACAAGAGACGTGACCGAAGTCAGTGTGGTATCTTCGAACAGGACCTCTCTACCGGGCGTACAGTCGACAACATTCATAGGATCGACAGTGCAAGCCAATGGTAAATCAAAAACAACAGCATATCTGAGGGTCCAGCCAGAGATTGTAACAACAACCCCAACAGCAACTCCAAGGATCCCACTCGAAGAGAAAACTACAGTATCTGAAAGGGTCCAGCCAGAGATTGTAACAACAACCCCAACAGCAACTCCAAGGATCCCACTCAAAGAGAAAACTACAGTATCTGAAAGGGTTCAGCCAGAGATTGTAACAACAACCCCAACAGCAACTCCAAGGATCCCACTCGAAGAGAAAACTACAGTATCTGAAAGGGTCCAGCCAGTGATTGTAACAACAACCCCAACAGCAACTCCAAGGATCCCTCTCGAAGAGAAAACTACAGTATCTGAAAGGGTCCAGCCAGAGATTTTAACAACAACCCCAACAGAAACTCCAAGGATCCCACTCGAAGAGAAAACTACAGTATCTGAAAGGGTCCAGCCAGAGATAGTAATAGCAACTCCAACAGAAACTCCAAGGATCCCACTCGAAGAGAAAACTACAGTATCTGAAAGGGTCCAGTCAGAGATTATAACAACAACCCCAACATCTCAAAAATCCCCATCAGAAGTTAAGACATCAAAAGCGCTGATATCGACAGAAAGTTCAACGGAGTCATCGTCGAAAAAGTCATCCGATCATGTAACCACATTTTCCACTAGTACGTCATTCACTTCGGTCTCCCAGAAAACTTCTGCAAAAACCACAACTTCAAATTCCAAATTACCAATAAGATCTACTAAAAACTCTCCATCAACTTCATCAAAAAGACCCAGGACAACACCAAAGACGGTTGAAGATGTAACTGAAGGGAGCGTGCTATCAACGAACAAGACCTATCTACCAACTGTCCAACCAACAACGTTCATAGGATCGGCTGTGCAGGCCGATGAAAAATCAAGCACTCACCCGAAATCAACAAAACATGCAACGTACAAAGGTTCATCGGATATAAAAGTTTCAGTTTCTGGAATGTCTATAGAGGAACCAAAAACATCATTCTTATCGATCGAGAAATCGAAAGAGAGCACCTCATCCGGTAGTGATCACAGTACCAAATTTTCCACTAGTACTTCATTTTCTCATGCCACTACATCAAATTCCAGAGTACCAATAGGATCTACTAAAAACTCTCCATCAACTTCATCAAAAAGACCCACGACACCACCAAAGACGGTTGAAGATGTAACTGAAGCGAGCGTGCTATCAACGAACAAGACCTATCTACCAACTGTGCAACCAACAACGTTCATAGGATGGGCTGTGCAAGCCGATAAAAAATCAAGCACACATGGGAAATTGCACAAAACATCAACTCACAAAAGCATCAAGGAGAAAGAGTTTACAAATAAATCGGAAACGTCTACAGAGGAGACTAAAACATCTGAAAAATCGAGCGAAACATCTGAAACAGTTACTGAGAATAGATACACAACATCTGTGCAAACTGAAAGCCCAACCTTTGTCAATGATATTGACAACATCAAAGAGCAGCCCATGACGAAAGTTGTCTCCACAAACACATCCTTGACTCTGGAGACCAAGACAAAGCTTCCTACAACAAACGCACCCACGACAAAAGAATCCTCTACAAAGACTCCCACAAAAAAGGCGCCCACAACTGCGACCAAAACAAAGGTGCCAACAGATAAGCCGACAACAGAGAAGCCGACAACAAAGAAGCCGACAACAAAGAAATCCACAACAGAGAAATCCAAAACAGAGAAGCCCACAACAGAGAAGCCCACGACAGAGAAGCCTACAACAGAGAAGATCACAATAGAGAAGACCAAACCAGAGAAGCCGACAACAAAAAAGCCGACAACAAAGAAATCCACAACAGAGATGTCCACAACAGAGAAGCCGACAACAAAGAAATCCACAACAGAGAAATCCAAAACAGAGAAGCCCACAACAGAGAAGCCCACGACAGCGAAGCCGACAACAGAGAAGATCACAATAGAGAAGACCAAACCAGAGAAGCCGACTACAGAAAAGCCGACAACAAAGAAATCTACAACAGAGAAATCCAAAACAGAGATGTCCACAACAGAGAAGCCGACAACAAAGAAATCCACAACAGAGAAATCCAAAACAGAGAAGCCCACAACAGAGAAGCGCAAGCCCACGTCAGTGAAGCCTACAACAGAGAAGATCACAATAGAGAAGACCAAACCAGAGAAGCCGACAACAGAAAAGCCGACAACAAAGAAATCCACAACAGAGAAATCCAAAACAGAGATGTCCACATCAGAGAAGCCGACAACAAAGAAATCCACAACAGAGAAATCCAAAACAGAGAAGCCCACAACAGAGAAGCCGCCAACAAAGAAATCCACAACAGAGAAATCCAAAACAGAGAAGCCCACAACAGAGAAGCGCAAGCCCACGTCAGAGAAGACTACAACAGAGAAGATCACAATAGAGAAGACCAAACCAGAGAAGCCGACAACAGAAAAGCCGACAACAAAGAAATCCACAACAGAGAAATCCAAAACAGAGAAGCCCACAACAGAGAAGCGCAAGCCCACGTCAGTGAAGCCTACAACAGAGAAGATCAAAATAGAGAAGACCAAACCAGAGAAGCCGACAACAGAAAAGCCGACAACAAAGAAATCTACAACAGAGAAATCCAAAACAGAGAAGCCCACAACAGAGAAGCCCACGAAAGAGAAGCCTACAACAGAGAAGATCACAACAGAGAAGACCAAACCAGAGAAGCCGACAACAAAGAAGTCCACAACAGAGAAATCCAAAACAGAGACCACAACAGAGAAGCCGACAACAGAGAAGACAAAAACAATGAAGTCCACAACAGAAAAGTCCACAACAGAGAAGCCCAAAACAGAGAAGGCTACAACAGCGAAGTTCACAACAGAGAAGTCAACAACAGAGAAGTCCACAACAGAGAAGCCTACAACAGAGAAGCCCAAAACAGAAAAGGCTACAACAGAGGAGTCAACAACTAAAAAGTCCAAAACAGACAAGCCCAAAACAGAAAAGCCAACGACAGGGAAGCCCACAACAGAGAAGATCACAACAGAGAAGAACAAAAAAGAGAAGCCGACAACAAAGAAATCCACAACAGAGAAATCCAAAACAGAGAAGCCCACAACAGAGAAGCACAAAACAGAAAAGGCTACAACAGAGAAGTCCACAACGAAGAAGTCCACAACAGAGGGGTCAACAACAGAGAAGCCCAAAATAGAAAAGGCTACAACAGAAAAGCCAACGACAGAGAAGCCTACAACAGAGAAGATCATAACAGAGAAGGACAAAACAGAGAAGCCGACAGCAAAGAAATCCACAACAGAGAAATCCAAAACAGAAAAGCCCACAACAGAGAAGCCTACAACAGAGAAGATCACAATAGAGAAGACCAAACCAGAAAATCCGACAACAGAGAAGCCGACAACAAAAAAATCCAAAACAGAGATATCCAAAACAGAGAAGCCCACAACAGAGAAGCCGATAACAAAGAAATCCACAACAGAGAAATCCAAAACAGAGAAGCCCACAACAGAGAAGCCCACGAGAGAGAAGCCTACAACAGAGAAGATCACAACAAAGAAGACCAAACCAGAGAAGCCGACAACAAAGAAGTCCACAACAGAGAAATCAAAAACAGAGAAGCCCACGACAGAGAAGCCTACAACAGAGAAGATCACAACAGAAAAGACCACAACAGAAAAGCCGACAACAGAGAAGACAAAAACAATGAAGTCCATAATAAAGAAGTCCACAACAGAAAAGTCCACTACAGAGAAGCCCAAAACAGAGAAGGCTAGAACAGAGAAGTTCACAACAGAGAAGTCAAAAACAGAGAAATCCAAAACAGAGAAGCCCACAACAGAGAAGCCGACAACAAAGAAATCCACAACAGAGAAATCCAAAACAGAGAAGCCCGCGACAGAGAAGCCTACAACAGAGAAGACCAAACCGGAGAAGCCGACAACAGAGAAGCCGACAACAAAGAAATCCACAACAGAGAAATCCAAAACAGAGAAGCCGACAACAGAGATGCCCACGACAGAGAAGCATACAACAGAGAAGATCACAACAGAGAAGACCACAACAGAGAAGCCGACAACAGAGAAGACAAAAACAAAGAATTCCACAACAAAGAAGTCCACAACAGAAAAGTCCACAACAGAGAAGCCTACAACAGAGAAGCCAACAACAGAAAAGTCCACAACGAAGAAGTCCACAACGAAGAAGTCAACAACAGAGAAGCTCGAAACAGAGAAACCAACAACAGAGAAGCCCAAAACAGAGAAGGCTACAACGAAAAAATCCAGAACAGAGAAGTCCAAAACAGAGAAGGCTACAACAGAGAAGTCAACAACAAAAAAGTCCACGACAGAGAAGTCCACAACAAAGAAGCCCACAACAGAGAAGCCTACAACAGAGAAGACCACAACAGAGAAGACAACAACAGAGAAGCCGACATCAGAGAAGCCTACAACAGAGAAGACCACAACAGAGAAGCCTACAACAGAGAAGCCTACAACAGAGAAACTAACAACAGAGAAGACCACAACAGAGAAGCCTACAACAGAGAAGCATACAACAGAGAAGCCTACAACAGAGAAACTAACAACAGAGAAGACCACAACAGAGAGGTCCACAATAAATAAATCCTCAACAGGAAAGTCCACAATAAATAAGTCTGAAACAGAGAAGCCCACAGTAAAGAAGTACACCATAGAGAAGTCAACAATAAAGAATTCCACCACAGAGAAGCCCAAAACAGAGAAGCAGACAATCAATGACATCACCGAGCCAGAAGAGTCCAAAAATTCAACAGTGGCCCTGTCGAAATCGTCCGAATCATCAGGAGAAAATCCGAGCAATACTGCACTTCATTTTCTTCTTATCGTTATAGCTGTTGCTGGAACTGGTTCTCTCATATACATCGGCCTGATCGAGTCTGTTTCAAAAAGGCCAGCACCTTCAGCCCTAATGGTTGATCCAACAATTTCAAATGTCTAAATATCATAATATTAGATATCAATCTCTCATCTGATAATTGTCATAATTATTCATAATTATACTCGACCAATTTTTAGATATTGAACAAAACCTGGTTTAAGGAAATAATAATTGTATATAATTTATTCCATTTAAAGTTTGCTGACTTAACAATAATTGCACTACATAGAAATTTTAGGAGCATGTGTAATTTGTTCAAGAGTATAATAATTGAGTAATTGATATTAATTGTAAATTACGGGAATATGTTGTTAGATATGCAAATAATATGAACATATCGTTAAATATGCGATTTGTAAATGGTAGTCGTGCCTCATTGACAATATTACTATAGATGACAATATTATTGTGATGTTACAAGACTTATTGAATGAGAACTGGCAATGAAACTGTTTTAAAGAATGCCTGTATTTACATGACGAGCCATAACGACTGAAAGCTTTGCAAGTAAGAAAGATCCTTCGGCTTCCTGTAATTGGCTGGTTGCACTTGTGTAACATTGTGGCTGTTGGAATACACCGAAGTAAAATAAGTGTCTAGATTAAAAAAAAAAAAAAAAAGTACAAGTAGATCAAGTTTCAAGTTTTGTGAATGTTTTGCGACCTGTGTCTGACCAGTCTACGATATGATTTTATATTTTTCTGAGACAATAATTTAATTTTAGCTTAGTAGTGATAGAATTGGGATGTGAATTTTTATTTAAGTTGTTAAATTTAATTCTAATTCTAATTATTATTCAATCGTTTGAATGTCTGACATAAAATATCAATCACTCGATAATGTTTGTTAGTTTAATATTCTGTGAGCTTTTAATGATACCGGACGAAATTACAATTTTAAGTCACTCAACACCTAACATAATATCTTTGGTATTTGGTAAAACTGTAAGGTAAAACCACTTTGAATTGCATTTACACGGATTGTCTCTAAATGTACTTTTTGAGTAGTTTGCCGTTGCAAATTATGATAAAACCTCTCTCATGATCAGCACTACAATCTCCGGCAGGGTCAGCTTTTAGTCTACTTGAAATCGTGCATATTGTTATCAATAATTGTAGTCAGTCCCGTTATGAGACTCTCATCAATTCTCATCATATTTCTGGTGTTCTGTCAGGCTGAAATGCTTATTAGACGTGGAGAACAAACCGTGAATCCAAAACATCCAACAAAGTCGCCCGCAAAAGAGGATCATAATACACCACCTCAGAAAATGAAGACTGAAGTGTTTGAACAACCAGACAGCTCGACCACAAAGCACGTGATAGAGCACGTGACAGAACACGTGATAGAACACGTGACAGAGAAAAATAGAAGAAACAGAGAAGAAGATAAGCTCTCTAATAAGAAGGGGTCCCCTGAGTTAAGCCTGCAGGAGAAAGTGCTGATATCAGTTCTCCTACTCCTCCTTTTAGTTGTTACAAGTCTATCCATCACATGGTCCTGGAACAAAGCTCAAACCTCACTCACTAATCCTGAGAGAGGACCCGAGGATTCAGATAATATCAATAATCTGTCTGCTTTCTCGACATTATCTAACTCTGTATTTGAGGTGGTAGAGCTTCAGGAACTACATCTTGAGGAGAGTGGAGAGAGATCTGTGAGAGAAGGTGGGGGAACATCAGCTTCACTATTCAACCCCGCCTCAAATTAGAAGCTGGCTACTGGCGGTGAATCACAGTACTACCAAAACAGTTTGTCCGAATTTTATTTTAACTTTCAACACAATATATAATTTACATGTGATTACTCTAATTAACAACCAATAAACAGTTCTATTTTTAACTCCTTACAGAGGTAAGACTGATGAGAAACACTGGGCCAACTCTGTTTGAACCTTGTATTTGAGTACCACTTAATTTGACCCTGTCTAACTGAAGAGTCTGTAAATACTCCGTCACCTCTCCACAGTACACCCAAACTAACCATACACTTGCTCAGCGTCTAGTTTACAGTTTTAACTTTGCAATGCGTCCCTTAGCAGTAATACTCGTAGTGAGACTGTTATTATGTTCAGTGTGGTTTGTTACAGTCAGTGAATGTTTCCCACGTGGTTCAACGGCTCAACAGAAAGTTCAACAGGAGGTGTTGTCTGGAGAGGAGCAAGGAGGACCTGAGATGGAGACTGTAGTCACGGAGACTGTAGTCACGGACACTGTAGTCACGGAGACTTCAACACCTGACAACGGAGTACAAGTCTTAACCACGGACAATACATCAGATCATACAATATATCCAGGGACAGTGTCGGCTACTACAACATCTTTTTCGTTAAGGACTGATACTCCTCCAAGTAAACCAGTGATAACCGGTTCATCATCAACAACAAATAGTTCCCCTTCCGAAGGGACAGTAGCCATCAGCCTGCTGCCATATACGTCAAGAGAATCAACATCTAAGGAGCTACCGGAAATTTCCACTGACGAAAAGACCTCCGTTTTGCCAAAATTAGAGCCTGCCTCAACAGAGCCAGTTGGATCCAAAGAGAGAACCCTAAGATTAACAGTGCCCACAACAGTACTGATAGCATCTGCCTCCGCAGTTCTGCTAGGTGTGTTCGGCTACGCCAACTTCCGCTACTGGAGAAAGAGACGTCAGGAGATGAACTTTAACATCTCGTACGTGTCCCGGCCTTGAGGACATAAGGACGATTCTTTTAGAACTTAGAAATTAGATATCTAGTACTCACTACTCTGTATTAAACTTAAAGACAATTTGTAGTGAAACATTGGGGAGGGTTGAATTTAGGATATTGTCTTTAATGATTGTGTTTTAAATAATCCAATACTGTGTTCGGCTATTGTGATTGCGAACAGTTAAACCTCTATTCATCGTGCTCAAAGATTTACCGGACCTAACCCACCTCTATTTATGTATTTATAAGTTATAGCCATCAATATTTCCGTCCCCGAGAAGCACGGTAAATATAGATTTGTATGTTCAATTCACATTTTGATTTAAATTTGTATTGAATCGTGTGATTATCATTATAATATTCTTTCATTAATTGTAAGAAATTTGTCCCATCAATATAACGATATAATGGTTTGGACGATTAAGATGGTCTGGTCAGTGGTCAATGTCCGCGTCAAAAAAGCGCAAAGTTCCTGCTTACTGTAAAAGTATGTCTGATCCTCAAATTTTCACCCATCCGCTATTATACTAGATAGTAATATTTGTATCTTTTTATGCATAATATTAATTCTTCTTCTTTAACCGTGTACAGTTCGTACTAATTGTTACCCCCTGACTCAACCAGCAATTCACCAATTTTAAGTTTGAAATTTTTACCTCATCGGTTAACTGGTTAAGGGATGTAATGGGGTTTAAATTGTAAGGACTTCATTACGTAATGACGTATTGGGAGGGGGTAAGCTGACTGTACTAGAACGCAGTTTTCAAGTGCAGTCCCGTCCGAGTTACAGCTACAAACAGACGTACCCTGTCTAGATTCATCCACAAACCCTTTATTAGTAGTTCACAGTGCGGTGGTATCATCCACACAATTAAAGTACCCCAAATTGGTGCGAATCCTTTAGTTGAGTACCCCAAAGGTAGTCGTAGCTCGTTCCCGTCTATGTTTCAACCCAAGTTGGAACATTTCTCTTTTACTCGTTAAACTTGTTGAGCAATGCGGCTATTACCACTTATCTCGGGATTGCTACGCCTTGCAGTCTGGATTAAAGTACAGAGATGTGAGAATGTCCCGGACCAGGCTGCAAAAACCACGTCTCCCTCTCCTTCTTCTTCAGACATTTTTACTAGTCCTAACGGTGTCCCAACCAAACTGCAAACTAGTGGAGGATACAACACACACCCTACATTACAGAACAGCAGCAGTCCTCTCAGGAACATTACAGAGACCAGATCGGAGGAGTCAGCTTCAGAATCATCTCCCTCCAACACGAAGGAGTGGGGAACTGAAACGCCTTCCTCCAAAGAGCCTATGCTGAACTGCAAGTTTGAATTATGCTTGGTACTGATGATCCTAGTCCTAGTAGTCGGAACTGTGATTACTGCTCTAGTGTACTGTGGACGGAGGAACAGACACCACACCATCCAACACACCGTGTATACATCTCCTGGTTCTGAACTTAACACTGGTTTGAAGAGTGGATCTTGTGCTCTGACACTGATGGACGATACTAACGTGTACGCTGATGCTGTAGATTTAGAAACTGAGGGCATTGCAAGGAGGGTAGCAAGTACGGACAACTCTGTTAGACCAGAGAAACCTGCTAAACCTGCCAAACCTGTTAGATTAAACCATAACTATGTCAACATAAGCATACAGACTTGTTACACTAAACCATAACTATGTCAACATAAGCATCCAAACTTGTTACACTAAACCATAACTATGTCAACATTACCAGCTTACACAAGTGTTGAGAATTAGTGAAGGGTATAATATCTGGACTACAGCGAGATTGGACTGTTATTAATTATTATTTCAATACGAGGTTAGTATGATATGAATTGAGATGTTTATGAAAGTCAGTCGAAAAACCTGTTATTTCTTTATATATTATCAATTTCGATCTCTACCCATGAAACGGCTCATTTTTATTTGTTCTTGAATTATTAATGATTACTGTTGTATGTTTATAAATTAATTTACATAAATTATCATAGTTAAGTGAAATGCTCGGTAAGTTCCATTGTCATGATTAAGATCAAAAAGTTGTCAAAAGTCAAAACAAATCGTGATTTACTATGAAAAAACTGTTCGTATCATCTCCTAATTTGTTTCAGTCTAGCGCTTTGTTGGCAATGGACCCAACCTATTACAAATCATGATCTAGATATAAGCTGTAATTTACATCATACACAGTGTATGTATTATATTATACTGATGATACAATTCTCTAGAAAGAGTAAGATGATAATAAGATAATAGAAGTAAAATTCCGGCGGCTACGATTAGTATTAGTCATGTTACGTAATTATTCTAAGAATTCTAACCTCGTGGTTTCATCCAAGTCACAAAGGTATAAAGTATCATAATCAGAACATGCAATGGAACGGAATTATATCTTGAGAAGACAATGAAATTGTTTCTAGGCCGGACTCCATAACAAGACCCTTACACTCGTCATTGTGAGACTCCATGGTCTAACAGTAATAAAGTGACACACCACTCTGCACTGTAACACAATACCACAACAATGAAACAGATTGATGAGTAGTACCTTCGTATCCGCTCAACACAAATCATCGGTATTTCAGTTTGACCAACCTTTCCCGGTACTGCACAAATCATTGGTATTTAAATTTACATAAAAAGCGTAGACATGTAATATTAGGTTGAGCAGCCGGTTATTTGTTGGATGATGCAGGCAGTTTTGTTAATATCGTTGTTTGTTACAGCCTCTATACAATCTCAAGACTGTGAACCTGGAGAGCACGAATACACCGACCCAGCTAACAACTCCACGTGCAAGGTCTGCCCTGATGGTTTTATCTCTGCGCACGACAAAAAGGACATTTGCCAGTGGGTTGTTAAGAAGAAGCGGACTTGTGAGGCCGGGGAATACAGAAGTTACAAATCCCACACGTGTAGCCCATGTCCAGAGGGGACGACTAGTAAAGCTGGAGCTGTCAAGATGCAGGAATGTAGGTCCGGTAATGTAACCGCTCCTCCGGGCCAACTAACTGACAGGGTAACAGAGAGAGCTCCTATAAACACGACCACGGCACACGAGGTGACTAGGCCACAGGTTCCAGTAACATTGCGCAGACCAGTACACAGACCAGTAACCAGGAAGCCAGTTGTACCCGAACAGTGGAGGCCTGGAATAGGACTGGTAGTGGCCCTGACTGTGGTTCTGGTGGCAGGAACTTCCTCTGCAGCTTTCATCTGCTGGCAGAGGGCATCTGAGAAGGCATCTGAGAACTTAATAGCGGCCAGACCGAGACCGAAACAGTTTAGAGTAAGACTTTCAACCATTAATGCTTCCAACTGTTCTTCTGTTTTCAGTAGTGACGGTGATTTCCAACGTGGTAACGGAAGACCGGAGAGTTATATTACTGCAGAGGAGCTCCAACGTGAGAGGACTGAAGCAGAGTATTTTGATAATGTGGGATCTTTTCAGGAGTCAGACTACGTCATCGCAGACTCAACCTTAGCAGGGTCCCAACCTGAACCACAACCCGGATATGTTAATAATTCCAGTAAAGTTGGACTCCATAAAGCTGAGTCCACAGCGACGCTGGACGATGCGTCTGAATACGTGTAGGCGACCCTTATTTCAGCTGGATTTATGGTGAATCTCTCATATCCGGAGTATGCTGAAACAGCTGTACAAAACAACAGTACACACGAGGACGGAGGAGATGCCGGAGGGAAATGAATACGTGGGCCCAACATCAGACAAAAGAGATGAAGACGGGTAACTTGGTTCTGGAGACGAGGACGATGTTTACTCAGAGGGATCAGAGGGTTTATAAGAGAAAAGTGAGGAAGAGAGAGGAACGTCAGAATCTGAACAATGCGAAGGTTAGAGGGACCTGGATAATCAGTACGTGAACATGTATACCATTAATTATTAGCTGAGCAAAATAGCGACTAATTATATTAAATAATGTGCTGTTCAAATAATGATTAAAGTTGTACCATGTTGGAAGACTGTGACCCGAACTATTTTATTTTTAATACGATTACTGATTTTTCACAGTAGCTCATAAAGTCATAAGACTTGATGAAACAGGTCTGAGAAACTGCTATCTTATAATGCTGAGTGCTATAGCGACAACATTGTTATAGCAATAACATTGCTATAACAATCAGATGTTGCCTGCGCGGCGGGTAGCAACACTGTATTTGATGAGGGTAGGAGCTAGTTTAAATTTTACAAGAGATAATCTTCAATTGCAATAAAATATTGATCAGAATGTTTAAATTTCAATTTTGTAGCGAATACTCGAATATTACAATTTAAACACGAAATAACAAAAGCAATTTGAATCGTTGATCCGTGGATTCGTGATCTTTCATGTGCATTCTTTTTTGCTCACTTTTTTTTGCTCACTATTTAACAGTAAAGTTTAAAAGTAATTAAAAAAATATAAATACGAATTATTTCGTTGTTTGTGGCATAACTATTAATCAAAGGTTTTTTAACTACATCAATAATTATTAATGGTATTGCATTAGTTTACGGCAGTTAATATTCTCTGTTTTTTACTACTTGTTCAAAGAGTGTTGGTGTCAACATAAATTTAACCACTGTACCATTCGAATTAAAATAGAGAACTGGTAAAATAAGTCACCACGATAGATATCATGAATTGTAATTCTGTAACATTAAACCATTGTTTTTTAATATGACATCAGCTGACATGGCCAATATTTTCTTAGAGTAGCTACAGGAGTAAAGGTTGCACCATAAATCATCAGTAACGCTGCAATTATACAAATGCCACACCAGTACACTTCTACACTACTCTCAAACGTTTTGATATTCTGATATTTTAATGCAATACTTGTCAGCTCTTCTAGTTTTCCTGCATCTAGCAGTCCCGATAGAGTCCAGCTGCAAGCATGGAAAGTACGAGTATACGGACCCAGTGACCAACCAAATAACCTGCAAGATTTGTCCAGACGGCCAAATTTCAGGACACTCTAAGAAGCACACCTGCCAACTTATCCATGATAGATCAAGAAACTGTACGGCAGGATCATATGGCTTCAAAACCATGGGCTGTATCTCTTGTCCTGCTGGTAGAATGAGCCCTGCTGGAGCTGTTAAAGTTCAGGAATGCAAGAAAGCTGTTACAAACCAGACTGTAACGAATGAGGCTGCCACTCAGCTGCTGACCACACCCGAGCGACAGGAAACATCATCAATAAGACCATCAGTTCATCCAACCATACCAAAGATTCCTACTACTTCTCCACCCGAGGGGACAACAGAGCCTTTAAATCACATGACAACACCAAATATACCAACTAAACCTTTACCAAAGGAGCTTACATCTAACACAACAACCAAAGTAACCCAACCAAAGATACCGGCAACAAAGAAGCCAGTGTCAGCTGCGCCTCCAACAAAAGCACCCACTAAGAAAGGGCCCCCCGTAGGCCTAATAGTGAGCCTGCTGTTAGTGTTTCTAGTAGTTATGGGGTCAGCCGGCTACATCGTCTGGAGGGTCACTTCACATCGCAGACAGGGCGGAGGTCTTCCACTGATCGAGCCTAATGGGTTCACAAACCCCACTCTTGTAGACGACGAAACCCCAGTTTCTCAGGGATTTGGACTTCGCAGATATAAAAGACAGGACAGTAACTACGTTTGTACGGATGAGCTGAAGCTGGAGAGTGAATATGTGGAGGCGTCACAGGTCAGGATATCTAGCCAATACGAGGTGCTGCAGCTGAAGGATGACGGAAATCAAGGGAATGCTTCCGGATCGAAATGCAGTGCTGTTGAGAATACTCCAGAGTCAGAGTATGTCCTTTCTGACCTAAAGAACACTCCAACAAAGCAATCTGAGTATGTAAATACCTATTCAGTTGGAGCTAAGCCAAAAGCTCAACCGGAATCCGAATACGTTGTTGCAAGCCCATTCCATGCAGGATCACAGCCAACAGAAAATAACCAAGAATCTGAATATGACGTCCCCAGAAATCTAAATAATATTACAACTCCAAGAGAGCACCCTCAGTACATGAACACAGTTGGATCCAAGCCTACAAAGTTAACTCAACCAGAATCTGAATACGTCGATGCCAATCCATTCCACACAGGACCACAACCTACAAAACCGGAGTACGTTAACACAGGTCTTGGTCTCACCCAACCAACTAACACGGATATGAAGGAAGAGTCCGAGTATGCTTACGCTAGTCAGGGTCAACTCAGATTCCTACGGAACCGTCCAGAACCCGCAAAAGCTTCAACAAGCAGGGAGCAGGGGAGCTGGGGTCAGGGGGCCATGCCTGAGGAGCAGGGGAGCTGGGGTCAGGGGGCCATGCCTGAGGGGAGCGAGTATGTGGAACCCACATTCCAGCAATCTATATACGAGAATGAGGAGGGAATTTACTCTCAGTGTCGGAATGACAGCTAGGGTGAGGGACACAGTCTAGTGTGAGGGACAATGACGTTATGATAGTGATATCTCTTATTATCGACGCCTCGACGGGGTCAAAAGGAAAGGTCCGTGATTTTGATAATCAGTACTTTCATCTCATGGATCCGGACGCTCTCATCATATTATTGAAAAGAACAAATTTAACATTAAAGGCTGACAAGAGTTATCTAGTCCCCAGTCCCCCTTCACACTCCGGATATACAACTTAAAACTTACTGAAAGTTCTAAACTGACCTGATTGACGTTAGTGCTGCAGCTGGGTAGAAGAGACTGAATGTGTAGCTGAAGGTCCCCCCAGAAAGGGAGCAGGTGAGCTGCCCATGTGTCTCTATAGTGGAGCAGTACTTTCTCTTCTTCTGAACCTGGATTTGTTTTATCACTAATCGACCGGATACAGTGTGAGAACTCGTATTATTATGAATATTTGTGTAACTGTGTTGTGTTTGATTTCTAGCTTTTAAGAGACTTTATTATATAACTTATTTTAATTGGTGTCGGTGATTTTAAACTTTGCATAAGTTTCAGGATACTGATTATTGCAGTTTTGTAGGTTTTTTTTATATCAGTGATTTTAAACATGTGGTATAAGGTGATTTAGCAATTCGGTACTCTGTCGGTGGACAATTAATGCAGACGTTAAGGCACACTTGCCTTAAACATCCCTTTACTAAGCGAGCAAAAGTTTAAAGCTGTTACGTAGAAGAAACTGTTATTTAGCTAATTATTGATTTCTTCTTTGAAAGTAAATTGTCAATTTCTTGTTTTCTAGCATAACTGAAATACGAAACATACAGAAAACACGCGTTACCAAGTTCAATGTGAGAGATGATGGGCAGGGTTTGGGGGAGGAGCTCACAGAACATCATGAGAGAGCTGATAAACGCTTGCGGAGTAGAGGTGGAATAGTCCAGAACTTCCTGAACCAGCTTAGTCCAGCTGGTGTCACTTGAGAGACTTGATCCTGAGTGAGGTTCTCATTCTGAGCTAGTTATTGTTTAATTTTATTCAAATCAAAAATAGAACATAAATTAACATCTTAAAGATCGGATAATTAGGCAAGTGAAGTTTCACTGCAGATTAACAAGGCGGATAATAGATAATTGCTAACGCCACAAATACCGAGTCTGAAATGCTGAACAATAATAATAACAATTAATTAACCATCATCTCACCAGTGGTAAAGGTAAGTAAAATGTTAGCGATGGTATGCTGCAGAGTGGACATGGTGTTAGCTATAGTAGCTGGAGGAGGAAGTGAGAAAAGGAGGGTGTGTAGTTGTAGCAGCGGCTTCACTATCGACATATCTGAAATAAATATGTCTACATTTCTCAATTCTCATTCACCATCAGCTGCATTATAGGTATCTGAATAAACTTGTCTGCATTACTCATTCTTATTTCATTCCATGTTTGGGGTTTCGATTTGTACGTTTTAATTCTGATTTTTAAATTATGCAGCTTTATATAAATCTGGTAGTATATAGTAGTATAATACCACTATATACTATATTATATAGTATTATATAGTACTGCGCCTAATTAGTAATTTCGGATTTACTTATTTTATAATTATTGTTTCATGGATTTCTACTGCCATTAAATGCTGTTCTGATGAACTGTCCATCGAAAACATGGAACCTTTTGAGCATTTAGCGCTAACCATCGCGTTTAGAATATCGCAAAAGAACCCAAAACTGGCCACGAAATAAGAACTTTAGAGCTTTAGGTCCTCAAATTAGGATCGTAAAATACATAATCAATATTAAACATTTTTGTCTCTTGACACCACTTTGAGAAACTAGTACAAAGAGTATTGCTAATACCAAAAATCCTTAAAACATCCTTTTTTTTCTTCACGGAACATATTAACTAAATTCCATAGTCCTACAAACGTTTCTTACCATAAATTATGTATACGAAGTTGATTGTTCCACGATAAGACCGCTAAGTTTTAACAATAGAAACAATGTGGATTTATGAATTATCTGAAACTAACATCTATCACAAACAAAATACATGCAGACTCTATTTAAAATCATGGAAATTCAGATTTCAAGGATCTCATGTGCCCCTTAAACTTACCTTATATAAATTGGACAAATTATCTAATAATATGGACAATTTCACTAGAGCAATAGGGAGATTACCTTACAATGCACAAATTATAAGCCGTTCTAATTCTATATATAATCGTTATTTTCTGCGAGTCGACATTTACGACAAGTCAACCAATTCATTAATTAATACTTGAATAATCAGAGACACTCAAAATTATGTTTATCTCATTCTGAACAGAAAGTGTTAATTATAAAGGTTATAATTAGTTTTAGCTTTTCGTCCATGACCATCTGTTTTACAGAATTCACCATCATTTTTAAAAATCCATCGACACACTCGGCATTTCTGAATCTCGCTCCGAATGGAATCTTCGTTGAATTCCTCTCGAGCAAACAGTTTCCTGCACCCAGTACACTGAAGATCGAGAGAGGTAGCCTCTGTTAAAATATTGTGAGGCAAGCAGGAGTGGAATATATATTCAGTTTCTACAGGAAGAGCGTCATACGACCTGAAATAATCAACATATCTCCCTGATGCTTCTGAAACCATCTCCATGTCAACGCCTGTCTTCAAGGTCTCGTACAGGGTAAACATGTTTAGAGTTCCTGCTGCCCAATATATCACCAGTCTTTCTTCCAACGGTCGTTTCTCCCAAACATTCCGCCCACCGTCTCTAGTGTTTCCAGTAGAGTAGAAGTTTGGTGAACATTTCAGGGAATTTCTGGGAATTCTCCTCATGCACGTTTTCCATCCTTTCAGCAGGTGAACAGAGTTAATATCTATGTTGTTCCTCTCCTTATTCCGGGGACTGATTCGCCAACTCAGCACATTAATCAGCTGAACATCAACAACATGTGCCAGCCAAGTACCGTGCATCTTGTGGAATGTGTCCGCCTCATCTCGGCAGTCAAACATCAGTTTGACTGGAGTGGGGCTCTCTAGAACATCTCTCAAGCCACTGTCGAAGGCTGGTCTTCCCATGGTGGTTATATCAAACACGTACACGGTGCAGTCGTTTGTTCCTATGAAGATGACATCCATGGGCCCGGTTCTAGCGAGGTTATGTTTCTGGCAAACAACTGAGACATAATCTTCCGACTGCAAATCCCTAGCAGCTTCAGCAACGTCCCCTACATCGTCCAACCACACTATGTTGGGTTCCCCTTTGTCAACCTCGATACAAACATCACACATCTTCACTAACTTCCCTCTATTTGTGGCCTTAAGTTCCTTTAAGATAAAGAGCTTTTCACAACATCCACACTTCTGCTTTTCATATCTTCTTCTGAGCTTATTTTGTCATTCAGAATCTTCATCGGTAGGAATTGATTGTAAATGTACCTTTTGTGTGGCAAATTCTCATATGATCTCAGATAGTCAACAAACTTCTGGGATGCTTTGAATATTAGATCCGTATCTATTCCGAATACCAGCTTATAGAAAAGTGAAAACAGATTGGCGGTCAGAGCAGATTTCCAATTTTCTCTAGCGGTTTGTTTCTTGAGTTCCTCATCATCCCCAAATTCTTCGACATCTTGCCTTAAAGTGTAGCATCCCTTCTTGATGTAAGTGTGAATCGACCTGACCAGGCCATTGAGTCTTGTCGTTTTTGCTGAACCATTTTTATATTCACTTTTCTCGCGAAACATCACCTCGAGTAGCTGTATATCTAAAACTCGTGCCAGCCAAACATTATGCATCTTATGTAAAGTATCAGAACTGTCCCTGCAATCGAACATAAGCTTCACACAATTGGATCCTTCTAGAATGTCCTTTAACCCCGCCTCAAAAACAGCGTCACCAAGAAGCTTCACATCAAAAACATACACTTTTGAATCATCTGTTCCTATGAATATGGTGTCAAGAGGAACACTTCGAGCTTGACGAGTTGACTTTTGGCAAATAACTGCGATCGTTTTCTCTAGTTTCAACTCTTCGATAGCGTCCATCAGAGTGAATTTATCGTCCACCCAAAGGACATTAGGTTCATCTTGATCAACTATCCTGCATATCTTGCACTTCAGGCGCCCGTTATCCTGCAGTAAGCCGAAATCTTCAGAGGGAAGATTCTTTTTACAGCATACACACAATTGACCGATCTCATAAGATGTGTATGTGCGGGCTAAAACATCTGATGGAAGGAACGGATGACAGAGGTACTTGCTGGGGGGTAAACTCGCACATGATCGCATATGATTTGCATACCGTTCCGATGCCGCAGCCAAGAATTTCAGATCTTTGGCTTCCTTGAGAGAATCAAATAGTGAGAATATGTTGAGAGTACTTGCTGTCCAAACTTTTACAATTTCTTCCCGAATCGGCCGTTCTGCCCATACATTTTGTCCGCCGTATTTTTGTTCGTAGTAGTCTCTATCTAAGCACTCGTCATCTTTCATGAATGGGGAAGCTTTCTTACGTTTGTTTGCGATATATTTTTTGATACAGCTTTTGAAACCTTTGGTTCTAAAGATCGACATATCAGGAGATTCATCTGTGTTTAATACAAGGCTTTTTCGGTGCATTACCTCCAAGATTTGAACGTCGAAAAAATTTTGAAGGCAAACACTATGCATAACGTTCAACGTATCTGCCGCATCTGGGCAGTTGAAAACAAGCTTTATGATATCATTGCTTTCTAGAAGTTGTCGGAGACCCAAATCAAAAGACTGGTCACCGAGAGCAGTAATATCGAAGACAAACACTTCACTCTCTTCTGTGCCGATAAATATTATGTCTAGTGGGTTACTTCGTTCCAGACGAAACGGTTGAAGAACAGCCGTTATCATCTTCTTCCTGCAGAGTTTCTCAATCGCGGTAGCCACATCATAGTTAACGTTGTCAACCCAGAATACTTCAGGATTTTCTATGTCTATCAACTTGCACATTTTGCATTTCCTTTCAGTTTTGGAAACAGCATCCTCTCCAAAATGCACTGCTAAGAAAAGCTTTTTGCATCCCGAACAAACTAATTTTGTACCTGAAGTCTGCAAATCGCAAACTATCACATTTTGAGGCAGAAACGGATGGTCATAATATTTATTTTCGGGCATAATTTCGTAGGATCTAAAATAGTCAGCGTACCTCTCCGACGCCTCTCGGGCTAAAGACAAGTCTTCACTCTTTTTGAGAGTGTCATATAAAGCCATGATCAAAATGGTTTTATAATGGTCTGGTGGGGGCGGAATCTCGTTGGTCCGATCAAGAAAAGGACTGCCTTTCAAGAATTGTTCGCAGCTCGTCTTCAAACTCCTAAGAGTTTTTGTTGCCATGGCTCCTGATTTTTCTCCAGCGCTAATATGTTTTTCCAAGTTCAAGACTTCTAGAAGCTGCACGTCCATTACATTTGACAGTTTAACGTTAAAGAGATGGAAAAGAGCATCTGATGCTCGTTTACAGTCATACATGAGCTTTACCCAGGGCTGATTTTGCAATATCTCCCTCATCCCAGCTTCAAAGACCTCACTTCCTAAAAGCTTCATATCGAACAAAAATGTCTCTTTACTGCGTGTGTAAACCATCAATTCGCTAATCGAACCATGTCTCCCAAGATGTGCTGAAACTTCTCCTTTTCCTCCTTTCAGATGCAACACAAAAACTTCCTCATTTCTAATCTTTTGGATGGCTGCTCTTAAATCTTCACTGTTACCAACCCATTTGGTACTATCGTCTATGTCCCAAGACGTCATAGTGCTGGTAGGAAAAGAATGATTACAATAGCTATGGTTACTGCTAGTATGGCCAAGACATGATATATATGACGGAAAATTCAACATTGTAACTCAAAAAGAAAAACTCAAAATCTTAATTTTCATTTCAGTTCAAGTGTTAATCGGTGGTCAGGCAAATAAATGTTCCATCATGTCAACAGAAAGTACTAAGATGCTGTCTCGCAAATGCGAGAGAATGATTCAGAATGATTCATTGAAACATGTACAACAAAACCTAACTGACTACACAAAAAAGTATGTAAATTAACAGAAAATGTTATAAGCACCACATGGTATAAGTTATCAAGTTACATAACATGTAAGCCACATAATAATGTAAAGTAACACCCCAGTTCCATGGCCGGATATTATGCCAAATTATTAAGTCATTACATTCTTTAACGTAATGTGATCTCTAGTATAATATTATAGTCTATACAATTACTCAATATGCTTTATGACATCAGGACTTGATGCAACAGTAATTTCAAATTCATACCAACAGTATGAAGTATCTAGCTATGGGGTACAGTTAGGGTTAAATAAGTCGTAGAACGATGTTAAAATGAACTCGAAAATTAATTGTCAGCCCGACATTTCTCGTGGTACCAGGTTCGATTCCCCGCTCTGCCAAAAGCCGTGGGGTGAGCGTCGTCGACGCTCAGCTAAGGATCCTGGGTGGTCTATGCAGCCCCCCGGTCCACTCAGCCTAATACTCGAGAAATCGGGTGTGAGGGTTAAATGAGAAGCTGCCCATTGCAGTGAAGTCACGGGTGAAGAAAGTATGGTACACACTACCGTAACCGTCACTGGCCTAATGTATAATTGAATCGTTCGGCTTCCTGTAATTGGCTGGTTACACCCGTGTAACTAATATGGCTGCTGGAATCTCCGAAGTAAAATAAGTGTTAGATAAAAACCCTCTAGATTTACTTAATCATAGTTAACTTCCCAAACTGAGTGACTATTACACTTACAGCACTGTCTACATGAGCTGCAGAGCTGATGGCTGTAACTATAACAACATTGATAATGATTGAGTCATGATTTTAAAACATTCGTTAGCGTTTGTGATTTCAAAAACACGAGAGAATCAGAACGGTACAGAAAAGTCTAGATAACATGTGATACATTTTATGTGTTATAACTTCAATAAGGTAATAATATTGTGTAATACAAACCTTACAACATTGAACCCTTTTATCGTAATTCTACAGAATTTGGGAAACTATACTTTCCATGCAAGTAGCTTTTTAAGATCAGGTTACAAAATAATTCATTTTGTAACTTTTTTTACAATTAACGTCGGAAGAAAAGTAAAATAAACGTTAGAATAATGGCGTTAATTTAGTAAAGCCCTGGTCCCCTCATCATTGGTCCACTCCCGATCACGTAAAGCACACAGTCACGTGCTCCGATCACGTTATCGGGAGTGGACCAATGTTAGGGGACCTTGCTCATTGCTGGGTCAGGCGTCCTCATTTTACTTTCTACTTGTATCTAGGCAATTGCGTCGTTGCTTAACAACAACAAGTTAAGAGATTAGCAACGCGCGTTGCCATGCTTCATGATACGTCATGACTCTAGCTTTCACATTCACGCTATGACTATTCATAACTTTGGTTGTGATCGATACTTTTTGATGCGGTAAGAAGTACCTATCGTTTTGGGAATCTAAATACTTACATTACTACTACTACTACTATGTCGGAGCTAAGTCCGATCTACGCCAGAAAACCCCCTCCATATATCCCTGTCCCGCATCAGGGTTCGCAGTTCCTCTTTAGAGTTTGTCCCAACTTCCTTCAGTAACATAGACAAGTAGCTTTGTCTTGGTCGGCCTTGCTGTGCTCTACCGTGCGTAGGTTCCCATAAGACTAAATCACTGGCAAGTAGCTCAGGATGTCGGATGCAGTGTCCCGCCATTTTTAATCTCCTGCTTCGTAACTTGTTTGACAGCCTTGGGAGGCTACCATACAAAGTTATATTGCTGACCTTGTCCTTCCATGAGATACCCAGCACCATACGCAACATCTTTGTGTATGTCCCGTCCAAACTTTTCTCTTGAGCCTTTGTCAGTGTCCAGGTTTCTGATCCGTAGAGCAGTACTGATTCACAAGCCGCTATGAACAATCTAATCTTTAGGCTCTTTGAGAGTTTGGATTTCCAGATATCCTTCAGTCTATGTAGGGCACCCCACGCTTTTCCCTTTCTAACCCTTATCTCCCTATCTGTGCTCTCAATCCAGGAGCCTAAGTAGATGAAATCATCTACATTTTCTATGGCTTCCCCGGATCGATTTTGTAGGTCGCTAGATCGATCCTCCATATTCAGTGTCATGACCTTGGTCTTGTCTTCGTTTATGTGTAGTCCCACGCTTGCTGCCGCCGATTCTACTCTGAGCAGGAACTCGTTAGCCTTGTCCATGTCCTCAGATATAAGTGCTATATCATCTGCAAAGTCCACATCGGTGATGATCTTGGGCCCCATTCTTCTGCTTTTTCTACGTTCGAGGGTGAGTCCAAGTCGCTCCGCGTCATCGCCTATGGCTTGCCTCATACAGTAGTCGATGACTATTGCAAAGAGGTAAGGTGCTAAGGTATCACCCTGTAACACACCTGCAAGTATCTCGAACAATTCAGTTTCTCCGTCTGGAGTTAGGACTTTGGCCATTGTCTTCTCGTACATGAGCCGTATAAGCTGCACGATTTTGACTGGAATGCCGTAAGCTTCTAGAATCTTTAGCATTTTCCCACGATGTACACTGTCGAAAGCCTTCTTAAAGTCTATAAATGTCAGAACAGCTGGCAGTTTCCGACTCTTGACACCCTCTATAAGACGTCTCAGTACCAATATCTGTTGAGTTGTTGACCTTCCTGGTCTGAATCCATTCTGGTTTCTACGCAGAATTGTCTCGATTTCTGGCTTCAACCGGTTTAGAACCATCTTGTTTAGAGACTTGGCAACTAGGGATGACAAGCTTATTCCCCGATAGTTCATTGGTTCGCTAAGGTCGCCCTTCTTTGGAATTGGTATGATGTTGGCAGTTGACCATTGGTCTGGTTTCTCACCTTTCAATAGAGCATTGTTACAGAAGTCTAAGACAATTTGATCAAGGTCGCATCGTTTTAAGACTTCTGGGGCTATGTTGTCATTATCAAATAAAAGCCATACTTTATATAGCACAGAGCTATTATATACGATGAATGATGAAAAGAAACAAGACTTGATTTTTTACTTTTTTAAATTTTCTCGAACAAAGCTTTCGACTAGCGGGTTTCTAGTAATATTATATTATTTATTTAAGGCTTGTAAGCACAAAGTAGCCAAAAGGAACTCAAAGCAGGTAACCAGCACGTTAGAACAATCATAACAATTGAATATTATCATAATGAACGGGTGTATACGCGATAATAGTTGGATATACTCAATGTTATATTTCGATGAATCAGTTCTTGTGAATTCGAACCAAGTTATAGCATCGGACGAGGAACACAATATACGCCCACCAGCCTAGCTGATACTTATTGATTTTTGCAAATACCAGACCCGTTTGTTTCGGGGTTGTAAGATCAAGACGTGAAGAATGTTGTTTGAATTTAAGTATTGATTTTACTTTGCTTTCCGCGGAATGGTTCAGGACGGTTTCCCGAGAATATTCCTCCTGTTTATACAGCACGATATAATACGACTTCGACAACCTGACCATAGGTGCAGATTTCGTTTTGAGGTGAACTTTTAAGTTCCCGAGAAATTTTCTTATGTTTGCTTTTTTTTTCCTCCTCGGGCACATTCGTAACCTACGGGCCAGGTAAACCTAAACTACATATTGACCGTTATGTACGTCGGTATCTGTTGAGGAGCCAAATCATCTGAAAAGCCCTAAACCTATATTTTGCTCAGGCACGTAGCCAGGATTTTTCTTTGGGGGGGGGGGGGGGGGGGGGCTGTCGGCGAGCGAAGCTGCAAGCTGTGGCAGGGGTCTGGGGGCGCGGCCCCCAGCGGGTTCCAGGTAAGGGGCGGACCCCATTGGCAGGGGCTAGGGCGGCGCAGCCCCCCGGAAAAATTTTGCGAAATAGGGTGTTTTAGGCTAAATTGAAAGTTTAATGAATTTACAAAAATGTATGGTTTGGCATAATCATTGCCTACAATCCTGACCTGAGTAATTTACCCCTTTGAGACTTTATTTTGGGTTGAAAATTGAGTTTATCGAAAGGAAGTGAAAAATCTCTGGTTCAAATTTGGATTTGAAGCCATGTTTAATTTTTTCTGTTGAGGTCAATTTTTTGCGCAGAAAGCGTTTGATTTTAGGGGAAAAAATTTATGTTTGCTTTTAATTTTTATGGTGCCGACGGCACCTGAAATCGACGAAATCTGCAGGGGTGAACCTGACTACTTTACATCTCCATAAAAGTGCCAAATAACGGGTGTTCTGTCTAAAAATATGCCGATTTTGACCAGGAGGTGGGTCGACCCTTGGTAATGACTAATTGTATTCTTTGTCATGTCATGTCACATAGTGAAAAGTAAAGATCACTCAAAGCAGCTCGGATCTCCACTCCTGGGAATGAACATGTTGCACATTCAGTGTATGAGCATGTATAATGAATAATGAATAATGACTGGATAATGAGCAGACACAGTGTCCTTACAGTTACACGTGTTGTGGTGCCTCTCAGCGCTGTCATTAAACACTATATTATTATAATATTATGTACTTAACACAGTCTTTATTAACGGCAACCCTTTAGAAGAAGTTCATGACTTTATGACTTTAAGTACCTTGGATCCTTTATAGCCTCAACAAGCAGAGACATCAATGTCAGGAAAGGCCTCGCATGGAAAGCTTTACAGAGTCTAGATGCTTTTTGGAAATCTAATATGTCCAGGAAGATCAAGACTAAGATTTTTCGAACTGCAGTAGAACCTGTTCTGCTGTATGGTGCAGAAACCTGGACTCTTAAAAAGGCTGATATCAGAGCACTAGACGGTGTTTATACTAACTCCGTTCTTCACTAGACGGTGTTTATACTAACTCCGTTCTTTACGGAAAGATTCCATCGGTGACAGATACTATAAAGACACGAAGACTTCGTTTTGCAGGACATGTCTACCGTCTACAGGACCAACCTGCTCAACAACTCCTTTTCTGGCAACCATCCTATGGCCAGCGTTATCGAGGACGACCACATAAGACCTTCCCGGACGTCCTACTTGAAGACACTGGAATGGAACCTGACCAGCTGCGTTTACTCATGTGTGATAGGGATAAATGGAGAGAAGCGTTGACACGAAACTCGTTCCAGATTTCATCTGGATCGACCTAGGCAGGCGGCAACACAATAAATACGCTAAGAGAACAGTCATAAGAAATACATGAAATAGGTTATTTTAGTACTTATTGTAAGAGACTTACTGGCAAAGGAGTGGTTTTTGGAGAGAAGATAAGAGATGTAAGTGTAGCAGAGATCCAGAGCAGGCTGGATCATGTTAACAACAGACAGCACTATGTCTCCGCACAGTACTCCTAGGGGAGACAAGGCCAATCATTATTAACAAAAAGTAAATACTTTTTAACTCAAAAAGTTTAACTTCTGTTCTTCTATTAAATAATAAAACTACTAGTACTACAAATAAACTAATCTAAAACTAATAAATCAACGAACTTAAATTAAATGTGCCTACCTTCCATCCAGGGTCGCTCCAGCATCTTACAAGTGGACTCAAACAGCTGTATAATAGTCTCAATAGCCCCACATTCAGTTAACTGCAGGGCTAGCTGGTGCGGCATGGGCTTGTGTTGTAGGACCAGGTGTTCCACTATCCTCAGTGAGGTTGTCAGCCGCGGGAGACATGACTCGTCCTTCTGGGGACGAGAGTGGGGTGACATGGTGACTTGATAACCTAGTAACCTAGTAACTGTAATCTGTAAAGTAGACTAGTAACCGTACCTGTAACCTAGTAACTTAGTAACTAGTAACCTCACTGGTACCTATAACCTAGAATGTAACTAGTAACTGGTAACTAGTAACTGAGTAACCTTATAGTCAGCCGCGGAGACATGACTCGTCCTTCATGGGACGAGAGTGGTGGTGACATGGTGCTTGATACCTAGTACACCTTAGTAATCTGGTAATTGGTAACCATAGTCTGCGGGATACATGACTCCAGTTCTTCTCGGACGTAGTTTTTTGCATAAGATTACAGTTCAGGGAATCTTGATCTAGCTTGATCATTGTCATTAGTAGTCCTAGGCTCGAGTAACCCGACAAACCTGCATATCTCGAAATTGACTGAGTTCCCGACAACCTCCGCATACGGGAGAATGTTGTGGTTTGTCCGAATGGTTTTGCCTGGACGGTAATGAGGTCTTCCTGTAAATGGTTGGTACTTAGTACTGGTAGATTGATAGATCCGGTCCTCGCTTGTACTGTACTGAATGGAGACTGTACAGTAGTAAGGAAGGTTTACCTTGATGAAGTGGACGGTACTGGTAAGTTGGTAGAACCTGATGGAAACTGGTCACCAACGCTGGTACTGTGACCTGGTAACCTGGTGACCTGATAACCTGGTAACCTGGTAACCTGGTAACCTGGTGACCTACCTGTACAGTAAGGAAGGTAAGAAGGGCGGTCATGTTGTTCTCAGCAGATAGAAGAGTGAAGTAGGCTGCTCTACCAGCAGGTACCATCAAGAGAGCTGCTATGTAGGACAGGGCTGACACCATACTAGAGTCATCTGGGAGGTGAGGGTTGGTTAAACTTATTATACTTAACTATTTAATAATATAAAAATATTAAATTAATATAAAAACAGTCAATAATATAATACCATTCAATACAATATTATTGTTTCCTAGTATGTAATATGTATTCACTAATCTTACATTATAACTCTATTTCGCCAAACTAAAAGATCATTATAAATCAACACTTAATCACTTAATTTCAGGTACAGTATACAACACTTAATCATTTAATCATTTAATCATTTAATCATTTAATCACTTAATCACTTAATCACTTAATCACTTAATCACAGGTACAGTACACAACACTTAATCAACTGACCAGTGAAGGGCTCCTTAACAGCCACAGCCAGCACCCTATCCAGCAGCTGGATAGCCTGGAGATGTACCGTCAGCAACAGTCCCAGACTGTGTGAGCTCAGCTTTACCCCGGCATGTTTTATCTGCCCGAAGGTGGGTAGTTCAGTGACCACCAGGTCCGGTTCCACGTTATCAAGCAGGGTTCTGATGAGGAGGTGGCAGGTGTCCGAGCGGGACGCTAGGAACATGCAACCGTTATATGAGCCAAGTAGAGTCATGATAAACTCCTGGGAGAATAGGTTCTGTTATTATAATGATTTCAAGTAGTAGTACGTGAAAGAAACGGTTCATGATTGAAACCAATGTCTTCAAATTCACATTAATTTATAATGATAATATTAAAGTAAAATTACTGTTTTTTTGGTGTAATTTTATTGCGACTTGTGTATACTGTAATTATAATAGTCCTGTAAATAAAAGAGACACAAATCAAACTATTCTCACATGAAGATCCTGGCTAAGATTGACACTACGTCTAATGACAGGTATACTCATAACCAAAGCTACACTCTCTATTGTCAGCATCCCCTCCAGCAGGGTCAGCAGGTATATGAACCCTGTAACATAACAAGGTCAGTTTCAACAACCTGGTAACCTGGTAACCTGGTAACCTAGTAACATGGTAACCTGGTAACCTAGTAACCTGGTAACCTAGTAACCTGGTAACCTAGTAACCTGGTAACCTAGTAACCTGGTAACCTAGTAACCTGGTAACCTGGTAACCTAGTAACCTGGTAACCTAGTAACCTAGTAACCTGGTAACCTAGTAACCTGGTAACCTAGTAACCTGGTAACCTGGTAACCTAGTAACCTAGCATCCCCTGCAGCAGGATCAGCACTCAGCAGGTACATATGAACCCTGTAACGTGAACACTAGTTTAAGTAGATGTTAGTTTTAGAAGATGAAAGTGGCCACAATTTCATCATTCATGATGATATGATAAATCATTGGGTAATTTCTGAGGGAACAGAGGATAAAAACCACGCCTAACAATCATCATAACAAGACCACATTATAATACCATCATTAGAGGTCTCAGGAGAAACTTTATCCTGAGGGAATGTCTTGATGTTAGGGAAAGCGAGACAGTGAGGTTTATCCAGGTACTGTTCCACCAAGGTAGAGAGAGCCTGGGAGATACTGTTGTACTCTCCTGTCAGTACTCTGCTGTTCTCGTCCATCCTCTACGGAGAAATTAACTGGTTTAGGGTCGGAGTCGGGGCTAGGGTCAGGAATAGGGTCGTGTCATCATTTTAACTTTCTTTTCCGAACAGGTACAAAATATATTCAAGTGCACACACTAATATAACATTACCTTGCTCTCTTGAGAGAGTTTTACACACTTCTGAGCGGACAACTTGATGCATAACAGTAGTTCGTACAAGTGCACCCTGTAATGGAGATAATCAATATTGAAAATTTCTTTGAAAAATAGTTAAGAAATGTCTACCACAAGATGGTTTCCACAACCTAGTAAGCAGTAACCTGGTAACACAGTAACCTGGTAACCTACCTGTTGAGGAGCACAGTAGCAGCATTGCTGACTCTCTCAGTTGGGGAGTGTAACAGTATCTCTGATAGCACCTGGTAACCTGTCTTGCCTACACCCACTAGAGTCATCTTTACGAACTCTTTCAGGGCTTTCTCAGAGTTGAAGGAAGACCCTATTGCCTGAGGGTCGTTGTGCGTTTAACTTTTTATTAAACTAGTAAATACAACTTTACAAAATCTTCTAGGAAGAAATGTTGAAAATCTTGTGTGGAAATTAATAAGAACTTCATAAAATTAGATATTTCAAGTGATTGGAACTATTAGAGATATAACGAGACATCATAACTTACAGTGGATGTTAGTATAAATATCTCCGGGATTTCGACGCGGGATCATATTATCACTCAGCCCGGCCCGTGTTAGGATAAAACATTCAAGGTGATATTGACATCCCGCCCCGAGGAAATTTGAGATATCTCAACCCGCGGTCCCGCACTTTTTTTAGATCTGTAATGAATTGTTATATCATGCAATTCTCCGACACTTACAATAAATCACCTCGGATACAGTGCCTGATTTGTAAGAGAGAGTCGATCATATTTATGAACTCAGTTAGACGCGGCGATTCACGTGGTGCGCGGTCACGTGGTACCACTTGCACCAATTTGCATAGCGCCGAGTGCTATCCACGTGACACATCGAAGTAGCGCACCACAGATGTCCGGAACATGTGTAACGTATCCACTTATTTTGTACACGCAAATTCCTTTGGACGTTGCCATATCGCAGCTATAATTCTTTGGATTTCTCACGGCTCTCCTTAGCTCTTGTTCTCTGCTAAACGCAAGCTAGTTGCTATCGGGGTTCCACTATGACAGATCGGTTTGGACATTCAGATTGATGAACTGCTTTCAGCAATAGATGTTCCGGACAGAGAGAGTTAGAGTTCAATCCCTTGCCACCCTCCCAAAATTAGCATAACATCTATAATCCCTTGTCGAAACTCGCCGGAGAGATGATTATAATCCATAAACACTTCACGCTAGGGAAATAAATGTAATCCCTCAGCTGGCGCTTCGGAGATATTACAATGACTCGAGATCACACAAAACTCGTCGTGTCGCGCACTCGTATGTGTTTATCAGATCATCCCGCTAGCGCGGGCTGAGCTGTTATATAATCCCTTTGCGTGGCGGGTTTATGTTATTATAATGACTTACAAACCCACATCTAACTGTCAACTTACCTTCAAAACAAGAGGTCTGGTAGGAGTACTGAGACTAGGTTCAGCTAGAGTTCTAACTTACCTTCAAAACAAGAAGTCTGGTAGGAGTACCGAGACTAGGTTCAGCTAGAGTTCTAACTTACCTTCAAAACAAGAAGTCTGGTAGGAGTACCGAGACTAGGTTCAGCTAGAGTTCTCAGCAGTTTGTGTACCACATTCTCTTTCAGGAGGATGTCCACCACCTCCGGTGAGCAACTACAAAGGGCATCCATCAGCATCAAACCTGCGATAGGTAAAGGTTCAACATACCGACCAAGAATGAGTTTCTGTTGATTCTCAGAGATGTTAGGAGAAGTTTGTTGTTAATCAGAAAAATTAAATCTAGTAAGTGTCCACTGATTTAGGCAAATATTAAGCATAACACCCCATTTCCCAACTAACCAGCTTTTAGTCCCCTAACATTGAGGCCAGGTTGCAGACCAGACAGAGCAGTCAGAGAGAGAGCTGACAGGACCCACTTCCCCAGCAGAGTTACCATCGACTTGAGATCTTCCTTGGTTACGTAGTGCAGGAAATTAGATACCAGCCCTGAAATTGGAGATGCGATATTACAGGATAATCTTAATCGGATTGGACAACACCTCATTTGAAATAGTGAACAAAAGTTTCCGCATCATCTGACAGAAAGGATAATATGTTTAACCAGAAGGGAGTTGATTACCATGGCATTGTTCGAGAGCCAGTATCCACTTAGCGGTTACTTCAGGGTTACTACCATGTCCTTGTACTAGTTTCGTTAACTTAGTTACATTCGGGGGAGCTTTAACAGTCCACGGTCTCTGGGGAGTGGGGTGTTAACTGTGTCACGAGAGCTTTGGTTTATTCATGTAGAGTTGTTCTTGTCGCTTATCCAGTATGTGCAATGTATCAAGTGGAATCGTTGTGAGTTTTGTGGAATCTTACCCCTTGGTTTTTAGATGCCATACGTTTAGCGTTTTTCTGGTAGAATGTAGCAGTTGGAGTGTGGAAGTAAGTCAAAGGAGCTGGCCTGTAAGTGTGGGGTTTTAATATTAATTACTTGAAACGTTCAGACAGAAACAATCATATTATAATGCTATGCTTATATTTTATATATTATATATTAGGGATGGTAATAAAGGTGGGATACCATTAGGGATGGTAATGAAGGTGGAATACCATTTTTCAATTCATTTAATTTTTGAGGACTCAATCTAGTCGTTCTCATCATGAGGAAACGAGATAAGATAGATTGAACCATGATCTGAAACGGTGTAGTCGGGACATGGTGACAAATATAGCGACCAAAATGATTGATAAGGTTCACCTGAAGGAGTAGGGATCGTAATTAACACTGACGAATATCCAGGCCGGCACGGCCTCCTCCTCCTCCTCCGCCCCCTCCACCTGCTCCTCTCTCCGCTCCTCTCCCTTCTTCTCTCCTCCTCCCTCCTCTGTTACTGGCAGCTCCTCGTCTGATAACTCCTCGTAATCAGCTAAGGGAGGATGTGATTTAGGGATTCGCTTTATCGGACTACGTGTTGGTTTAAAATATCGAACTGGACCTTATCCAATGTTTGGTATAGTTAGTGTAACTTCGAAATTCAATAACAATGTAAAATTGAATCACCCACAAGGTAATTAAAGATAGATACAGTACCTTTAGATGAGGTGGGTGGTTTAGGAGCATTGGCTCTGCTGGGGGAACCTTCAGGAGACAAACACTCGTACAACGTGTCCACTTTATTACGCTCCTGGATAATGTGAGTTAGTAGAATAGAACGAGCACGGTCATTAGCCTTCAAAGTTTTTAAGCATTATAATATTAATTATTATGTTGCTTGATAAGAGGCTATGTATGAATATACATGGGGCATGTGCAGTACACCTCCTATTTAGCCCTCTACAGCTGAGCTAGCTGGATTGTTTCTATTAATGTTCCAACTTCTAGGTAGTACCCACATTTATATGGTAATTATCTGGATACCCCGGCGGTAATATCTGGTAAATATGTCAGATATCTAGCTCGGTTCACCTCTCATTGGTTATTGTAATAGGGTAATTATATAATTACAGAGCATGCAGGATGAGTAATTACAAGGTTAGAGGCCTGCGTCACCCTGGCGACGGGACGTAAGTTTGGTAGATATTAAACCTAAATGAGCTAATCGATTTTCCGCCGGTAATTTCTGTACAAGCTTCTTTACCAGCTGTACTGTATCCAGTCAGTGTACAACTGCCGTGCCTAACTTAGTCGCGTCTCATAATGACCTTTACTATAATATATTATTATCTTGTTGTTGTTTGTTTTGAACTTTAAAAGTTTACCATGCTGTTGTGTAGCTTTGAAATTTGTACTGGCGTTTGTTTAGAATGATTTGACTTGATGCAAAGCTTTTAAAACAGAATCAGATAATTGAACCGTATGAATCCTGATCCGGTCGGATATTTGACGATTCTAATCTGGTCTTGTTCTGGTCCGGTTTCCAAGAAAACATTAAGATATCAAAATTTTAAGAATTTGATATCGGTAAAAAGGGTATCCAACCAATCAGCGTGGGCCGGGTTATTGTGATATTGCTCGTTATTTGCTTCATCATCATCAACACATCCTCAAAACGCAAACAACTCGTGTTCTGGAATTTCTTTCATATACGATTCCGTAATTTATCAGAATATTATAGAACTAAATCACTTGTATTATTCCTATAGATCCGCGTTATGTAGTAATATAATGAAATATGTTTTTTGGGAAAGTGTTGAATATTTGTCTTAACAATAAGCAACTCCGGTTTCTTGATTTCTAGATTTCTACAAGCACTTTAATACTTAAAAAGCTTTAATGAAGTAATTGCAGTGTTTAATTACTTACCAAGCTGTATACCTCATTTAATAAACAATATGTCCAACATGTTCAATGTACTTTGAACAGCTCTCAGCACAATAACTAACCCCATAATAACCACTCTCCAGATGTTCCTCCCCACACTCAGCACCCTGACCTCCCCCACCGGTCTCCTCTCCCTCTTTCTCCTCACTCTGCTCCTCATGATAAAATACAGAGCTCACACCAAAGTGGTCACTTTAATACAGTACTGGATAGAGGACCCTGGCGAGCAGGAGGGAGCTGGGTCACATGACCAGCCCTTTAGTGTGGTGTTCAGAGATCAGGCTGATAGTGACTGGGAGAGTGGGGTCGAGTTCGACATCAGGTAAGGAGGCCCTGTACTAATGCAGTATTTCTTATCTCTATAAAGTTTCTGATAACATTAAATTTACGAACCCACTGCTTTAATATACTGTTTTAAGTAAATATCTAATCATGACCTATCGGTATCTTAGATTCTCAGGGCAGTCAGAATTCGCATATTATTATTATTATGTTAAGTTGTGACGTCTATAAACATATTTTGAACTCAACATTATACAATGATCCACGATACCAGACCTCTAACGTACACTGCCGCCCCAGGTGTAACAACACAGGGGACCTATACATGTGTTGGGGTGTGGACACCCAACTCCTCTCTCAACTAAAACAAGGACCAGGTCTCTTCACCACCTCCCACACCTCCGTATCAGACCTCTTCTCCGCTCACAGCATCAAGATCAAGGGACCTATCCACATGACGCAAGGGCACGCGCACCGCCTCATTGCGCTGCCAGACCGCGACTTCAAACTAGGACTCCCTCCACGCAAGCAAGTGCCACTAGTCCCCCCCGTTGAGTGGGTAGACGACAAAACGAATGGTGGGATGAGAGTGATATTAAATGACACTACGACAAAA